GTCACGTGGGTATGTGCAGGGGGGGGGGGGGGGTGCAGTCCACAGCTCTGTATAAGCCCCAACTAGCGCGTCTCAGAGCTCACACCTACCTGTCAGCTTAACAGAGTAGCAGAACAGTGAGGGAATGGTGAGTATGTATTGTTAAGGAGGAGAATAATTAAATCTGAACTCCAGCATTCATTCGCTCCAGCGCAGTTGTACAGGCTAGTAATTACTTACTCTGGTTTCACTGCACACTCAGTTTCTGACAGTGTGCTTTAGAAGCTGCAGCAAATCAGATACAGCCTGCCGGGTTACCTGGTTGGAGGGCATCCAGCATCATTTAGCCTGTTTTGAAATCTGCTGCTGAAGTGGATCATTCATTTAATATACCACACAAACTATTTTAATTTATTGGATATACATATTAACACACTTTTTTAACTATGTATATTTATTAAGTGCTGCACTTTGTTTATCTGTAATCATTTAGCCCCTTCCTGACCAGCTCCTTTCATCCATTGGATTTCAGTTCTTTCAATGATGATGCTCTGCATCACATGTGGGCATTACCTAGTGTGCTTTATATGCAAATACAGTCTGTCTAGGAACTCCCACTCCTCCAGACTGACATCCACCCTTCAAGGGATGTAGATATTGCATAACTCCTCCCAAAGGACAGTCCACTGCTTACATCAGGGCTGAGGGCTCTTGAGAGCAGTACTGAGGTAGGGTGCTGTGATGGTTTCAGGAGGCTATGTACCAGGGGTGGACTGACAACTCATGGGGCCCCCTGGCAATAGGGGATCATGGGGCCCCTGTGTCCTTGCCAAAACTCAAAAAAGCCTATGAAAAAGGTACTAGGGGCATCTCATGGGGCCCCCTACTGACCCCGGGCCCTCGGGCACTGCCCAAGTTTCCAAATGGTCAGTCCGCCCCTGCTATGTACAGCAGCCCATCAGCCCCTACCACCAGCCATAATTATGCTTCTATATATAAAAGCGCAGCTCTAAAAAAATGTGAGAAAATATATAATATCTTAGTTGATAAATCAAAAAAAGGAACAATTTATCAACTAAGATATTATATATTATTCACAATTGTTAGCGCTGCACTTTTATTTTTTATCAAAAGAAAAAACACAACACAAGCGCTCAAGTCCGTGAGCATCCCAGGACCACAGGAACAGTCACTCGCTTAGGTGCAGCCCTCTAAAGATCAGGGAATCTTGATATTACTGGAAGAGAGCAAAGAAGGAGCGCACTCTCCTCGTGTATTACCGTGATAAAAAGGAATTTATTTGAAAATGGACCAAAAATGTATACTCACAAACCAAGATTCATAAAAAAAGCTAGGAACCAATGTGACAGTCCGAGCAAACTATACAAAGAGCAGACTTCTATAGAGGAGTACAATAAAATGGGAGGCCACTAGATCTATGATCTGCTCTAGTGGTCTCCCATTTTATTGTACTCCTCTATATAAGTTTGCTCTTTATATAGTTGCTTTAGGTCTGAAGAAGGGAGTACATCTCCCGAAACGCATTAGCACACTCTGCTGTTAGAATACCGTTTGCTTGGACTTTCACATTGGTTTCTAGCTGGTTTTATGAATCTTGGTTTGTGAGTATACATTTTTTTGTCATTATCAAATAAATTCCTTTTTTATCACGGTAATGCACGAGGAGAGTGCGCCCCTTCTTTGCTTGCTTACTTATATATATCTTTGTATTCTCTGTATCAGGATGTAGTGCTGGCAGCATTTGTTTGTATGAACCAACGCAGATTCTGATGTCACTTTACACATAATTATGCTTATGCCTGCTATCTCTAGCCAAAACTTTTATTTGTCTATTGTTTTGTGGAGAAAGGTTAGAATTTCTTTTTGATTTTATTTCTGTTGTCCTCTCTGGGGAAGTGATGGTAAAGCACTTTTTTTTTTTTTTTTTTTTTTTTTTTTATTAGGGTGGCAAAAGGTTTAGAACCTCTGTGAGATACTTAACCCCCCCCCCCCCCCCCCCCCCTAATTTTTTTTTTCCTGGTGTCAGAAAAATAAAAAGGCAGGGCGACCTCTTTACAAACAGCAGTAATAACCTGAAGGCTTCAACTCTTCCCCACCTTATTCATAGCTAGAAAACGTTTAACAGTTTTAGCTAAAGCAACCATTTTTTATGTGGATTTAGATCGTGACCATTGTAAGTACCATTACCAATGGTATAGCTTGTCTAAGTCCCCATCGCTGTCCTGTTTTTATTATGAAAGATGTAGTTCTCAGTTTCTGTTTATATGATGTAGGGGGTGTTTTCCAAAAAAGATGCTATGATTTGTGCTTCCCTGCAGTACTTTAGTATGATGTAGGGGGTACTGTAATGTAGGTGGTTGGTGTTATGCATCGCTATGATGTGATGTAGGGAGTGCTATGTTCCAATGAGCTTTAACCGAGGATCATGATAATTTTGTTAATTTGCAGGGGGATGTCGGCTTGGCTATGGGCAAACTGTATGGCAACGATTTCTCTCAGACAACCATTTCCCGATTTGAGGCACTTAACTTAAGTTTCAAAAACATGTGCAAACTTAAACCGCTGTTACAGAAGTGGCTGAGCGATGCAGGTAAAGCAGATCTGTCTTTGATGCACAGCTGTTATATTTTATAGCCCTGTTTACGGCTACTAATTATCTTTCTCTTTGCGTAGAATCCATGTCTGTGGATAGCACTCTGCCTAGCCCCAACCCACTGAGCAGCCCCGGGGGAGGATATGAAGGACTCCCTGGCCGCAGACGCAAGAAACGCACCAGCATCGAGACCAACGTGCGCTTTGCACTGGAGAAAAGTTTTATTGCGGTGAGACAGATGTAATTAACAATAATGGCTTACATGCATACTGTAAAGAGATGGTGTGAGGACTTGGCCACTGCAATACACATGCATCAGTACAGATTGAGTTGATATGCATTTTAGATGTGATGCATTGTATCATTTTTTCAGCTGACAGGAGTGACAGAGTACTGTCAATGCATCAAAACAAGTATGCAGGACTTTTTGTGGTGTAATGTGTATGATCATGTCCTTTTGAAAATAATCGTTTTTTCTCTTGACCAGGGGCGAACTTACCATTTGGAAACTCGGGCACTGCCCGAAGGCCCGGGGTCAGTAGGGGGCCCCATGAGATGCCCCTGGTGCCTTTTTCATAGGCTTTTTTTAGTTTGGGCAAGGACACAGGGGCCCCATGATCCCCTATTGCCCGGGGGCCCCATGAGTTGTCAGTCCGCCCCTGCTCTTGACCATGCATCTTTGGGAAATGTAGCAAAATGCAAATGCATCTAATGAGAGCTTTAAAACCTAAGTTCACCTTATGAAGCATGTTACAGCTGGTGGCAGTGTCTGCAGGAGCCTGACGTAATGTTCTGTAGGCTCCTCTAAAATAATTAAATAGTAAAAGCACTTATTTTTGCAGGGAAAAAAAAAAAGTGCATTTTTATTATTTTTTTTAAAAGATGGACTTAGCCTGTAAATAGTGGAGCAGATGTAGAGAAGGATGACGGACCCAAGAGAAACCATCTGTTTTTAGGACAAGCCTTTGTGCCAGCTGCTGCTGGACTATAAGTTCAGCTTGTCCTGCCAGCATGTGGCACGATCTCGGGATAGTTGTACTCTCGGCACTTCCTGTATTTGCAACATAGGCATCAGATAAAAACCTGCCTGTATTTATATGGTATAATATTACATATATCCTGTCAAGATGCCCATTTCCCTGTACATAAAAATTAACTAGTCTACTCTTTTACTGTTTTAAAGCGTATTAAGAATCATAATAATGAAAATCTGTTTTGGTGTGTTAAAAGGGAACATCAAGCACAAAAAATATAGCATATAAAATTGCTACACCAGCCATTTTTGTGATTTTTAAAGTTCCAAAAAATTGCTTTTTCATCTCAATCTGCAGTTGCAATTTTTACAGCTGTCATAAATGCAAGGTGATATATATGGCAACCAATAGTACACAGCCAGCAAAAATTAGGAAGATGTTTTAACCCTTAAATTATTATTATTATTAAATCCAAAGCTTAAAAAAAAAAGTAGTTTTGGCTATACATATATGCTCTTTAAACTGTTGGCAGGAACAAATAGTAGGCAGCTGCATGTCCGGAAATATATGCTCAAGCTCCCGGGGTATCTGAAAACTGGAGGACTCCAATATGGTAATTGGGACATTGGTGGAAAAAGTTAAGATCTGCCAGGCCTCCTTCATCCCCCAGCATCTCACTATTTGTCCTATAGAGTGATGGGCAGTCTTGATGCCCAGTAGTGGGATGCTGGAGGTGAAAGAGGGCGGTCCAAAGTTTTTTGACTTTTTCCCCTGACATTGAGCAGCTGACTAGCGATGTGTGCAGCCACCAGCAGGTGCTTACTTTCACTTCCTGGTGAGAGTATAATACGGTTAACAACAAAGCGGGTTAACTGGGAGAGCCAGTCATCCTTCATTAATAATATATATAACTACGAATGCTACAACTGAGCATGCTTTGTTGTGGTTATCGAATCATTGTTCAGGTGCATTCACTAAACCTCATATTTTTTGTTTTTGAGTTTTTTTTTCTGCACCATGATTGCTGCGCCTAATAAATTCTACAGGTTAAGTTTGTAAACCTTCCTTCCCCTTCACATAAATCTTTATCTTGCCACGTTTCCACAGTTTCTCAGTTTACTAGCTGCCATCTGTGATTTTGTACAGATACTTTAGTCTGATTCTTTTATTCACAGTGCAGCTCGCAGCATTCTCTGGAAACGCTTTATGCCCACCTAAAGAATATTCAAGGTTTATAATCACACCAGTAACTAAAATGATGAAAGCCAAAGGTCTCTCATTAAAAATAATTAATATATAGTGTTTGACACCAAGGGCATTTTTTAAATTATTATGGGAGAAAGAAGACAGCAGGGGCGGACTGACCATTTGGAAACTCGGCCACTGCCCGAGGGCCGTGGTCAGTAGGGGGCCCCATGAGATGCCCCTGGTACCTTTTTCAAAGGCTTTTTTGAGTTTGGGCAAGGACACAGGGGCCCCATGATCCCCTATTGCCTGGGGGCCCCATGAGTTGTAGTCCGCTCCTGGCAGAGACAGTAAGCCCCGGTTCACACTGTCGGATCACATGTGATTTGCAAAGGAATCGCAGTGCATTCCTGTGCAAATCACATGCAATATTGTGCGGTGCAATTTGAGCCCATCATTTTTGTATGGCTCAAATCGCACTGAATCTGCACGAAAAAGGTGCAGGTACCTTTTTTGTAGCCACGCAGGAATCCATCCGCATGAGTGTTCATACCCATGTGATCTGATTCAGGCAAACTCTGATTAATTGACACCCGCAGCAGATCGCATGAACACAGTGTGTTTCCACAGAGCATCAGTGTGAACCAAGCCTAAGTCACATGCTCCACCGTATTTGGAAGTATTGGGTACTCCTGGAGACTGGCTGGTATGGCAGCGTGTGAAGATGAGAGTGCGCTGCTGAGAAGGGGGACAATAAGGGACCTTTCTCACCAGAAACTGAATGTTTACTGTGTGTTTTTGCATGCACAATGACATGCATTTGACACACGCTTACATTTCCTTTTGAGGTCATGTCTGTCTTTTTTTTTCTTTGGGCTTTTATGTGCACTACACTGCATTGCACCGCATTTACATGCATTTGTGCACATTTGTTACAGTGCAGAAAATGCAGATTGCTGCAGTTTGTTTCACTGCACTGCAATAGTGTGAACTATGCCCATAGGATAACATTGATTTTGGACTGTCTATGTATTTGGAGTGCAGTCAAAAATGCATCCAACTGCATCTGGTGTGAATGGACCCTAATATACTGCCAGTGAAGTGTACACCATGTGTGAAGAAAAAAAATGCCTATTACTTTGTCCTGCATGGGCAACGGCCAGGTTTGCATTAGGCAATGTATTAAAATGTAGGTTTTGATGATCATTTCTCAGTTAGTGTTTTCCCTCACTCTTCTTGCTGTACTCTTGTTGCATTCCTCTGTGTCATCTCTTCTTCATTGTGCCGTCCAGAACCAGAAACCTACCTCCGAGGAGATCCTTGTGATTGCTGAGCAGCTGAACATGGAAAAGGAAGTGATCCGTGTGTGGTTCTGTAACCGTCGGCAGAAGGAGAAGCGCATCAACCCATGTAGCAGTATGCCACTTATCCCCTCCAACCACGGCAAAGGGCAGCTATATGGGACGCATATGGTAATGAGATGTCCTGTCTTCTCCGCATGACACAGGGAAGCTGTATGGGGCACATGTGGTGACCACAATCTTAGTTCAAACACTAGGATACATAGTGGCCAGAAAAATAGATCTCTAACTCCTGCAGCAGAAGTGGGCTCACCATGTCCATCTGCATGTTAAATTTTTTTGTAAATCAAGACATGCCACACTAACTCCACTTCTACACCTTGTTTGTAACCCAACTGCAGGCGAAACTTTTTATCTTCATTTGGATTGCGTGGAGAGGGTTGGAAGTAAGAGAAATAAAATCACCCCACTTCCCGGTACTGAACACAGGAGTTTTTATTTTTGTCCATCTAAGGTCATGAGAAATTATTGATGGAATATTTTGACTGGCATACTGAGTTCATAGCTGGATAAAGCCTAGGTCTTCTAGCCAGCCCTCAGGACTGATTTCCATCGTTTATATGTGGGTGATCTCTATACACTGTCCTGTTCCACGAAAGTGCCGATTTGGACATAAATTTCTGTTGTAACTGGGCAGTGTTCTAAACCTTATTGGAGATTGGACGAGATTGTTTTCTCTCTTAAAGCCTAACTCTGAAAAATCCTTTTTGCAGTGGGGCTGTGCATGCACTGCAAGGATTAACTGCTCATTAGTCTACGGGTGAGCAAAAACAATTTTCTTGTCTGATCCTCCACACCCCCAGCAGACGGTGCTTCCGATGCATTGAATTGTCTGTCCTACATTGTCCTCACGTCCAGTGCAGGGCTTTGGACCCTATGCTGGTCTCAATGACATCAAGACCTTAGACCTCTGGAGCACAGAGGAGAAGATGCTGAACAGTCTGGTCTAGCAGTGCAGAGGATCAGAAAGGACATTTTCTCTGCCCACTAGACATAAACAAGTATATAACCCTTGTAGTGCAGGCACAGCCCCACTGTAAGGGGTAATTTCCAAGTTTCTCAGAGTTGGGATTTAAAGTAACTCTTGCCTTTCAATGTATCCTGCAAAAAAATATGCTGAATACTTCCAGTACCTGTAAAACACCCAAAGAATCTTTTGCATTTGACACACTTCAGAGAGTGTCAGATAATTGGTCCCCACCGCTGGGTGCTGTGGTTCCACCCACTGGTCACTATTTCCCTTCTGTGTCTTGTAAGATGAGGGTTGGAGATTGGAACCACACCGTGCAGAGGGGGGAATGTAGGCAACCAGCACTTCTGTGGCACAGATACTAACCACTGGTTCACATATCCACGTTCCTGCGGTCCGCGTTTTGCGTGGGCATGAGAGCTCAATCATTTGAATGGACTCCCGTGCCCCGGGACGCGTGGAGAAGAAGTCCCTGCACTTCTTCTGAAAACGCAGAATTAATGGCACCCACCGCTGGTCCGCATTCCTTTTTGTGGGATTTTTGTGTGGATCCGCAGCGGCACCTCCCGCACATATGTGAACCTAGCCTAAAGATTTTGTTGGAGACCCGTGGCCAAAGAGCTAATTATTAAGCAGAAGTATAAGACTGTTTATAAATGTTTTGTTGTACACATTTTTTCTAATTGGATAAATGTGTAAATCCTGGGTGAATGTTCTATAAATCCTGAAAAACATTTATAAATAGACCCCTTAGAGCTTTTTTAATTTTTTTCTTAAAAACAACTTTTAAAACTTTTTGTTTTTAAGTGACAGCTGCCTTAATATGTATGTAAACCCTAAATCTATTTTTTTTCAGTATGTTTGGCATCATGCCTCACTGTATACAATTTTCGTAAATAAATATTTTTCTGTGACTATATTGCATATAGTTTCTTATCTGGAGATCTTGAAAGTAACAGCGCTTCCTGTTTCAGACTGAAAACGCTAAGGCACTAGGAGCATTGTTGTCAGCTTGCGATGAGCACTTGATCTACAGTTGCAAGAAAAAGTATGTGAAGCCCTTGGGATCACGTGGAGTTTTGCATGAATTGGGCATAAAATGTGCTCTGAACGTCATCTAAGTCACAATAGAAGAACACAGTCTGCTGAACATAATACTACACAAACATTAGATGTTGCCATGGTTTAATTGCACATAACATGTAAACATTCACAGTGCAGGGAGGAAAAAGTATGTGAACCTTTGGACTTAACTGGTTGACCCTCCTTTGGCAGAAATAACCTCAACCAAACGTTTGCCTGTAGTTGCAGATCAGACCTGCACAACGATCTGGAGTAATTTTGGACCACTCCTCTTCACAAAACTGTTTCAGTGTAGCAATATTCTTGGGATGTCTGGTGTGAATCGCTCTCTTAAGGTCATGCCACAGCATTTCAATCGGGTTGAGGTCAGGACTCTGACTGGGCCACTCCAGAAGGCGTATTTTTTGTTGAATTACTTGTATGCTTTGGGTCATTGTCCTGTTGCATCATTCATCCTCTGTGGAGCTTTAGTTGGTGGACAGATGGTCGTACGTTTTCCTGCAAAATGTCTTGATAAACTCTGGAATTCATTTTCCCATCAATGACAACAATCCGTCCAGGCCCTGAGACAGCAAAGCAGCCCCAAACCATGATGCTCCCTCCGCCATGTTTTACATTGGGGATGAGGTTTTGATGTTGGTGTGCTGTGCCTTTTTTTCTCCACACATAGTGTTGTGTGTTCCTCCCAAGCAACTCAATCTTGGTTTCATCTGTCCACAGTATATTTTGCCAGTAGTGCTGTGGAACATCCAGGTGCTCTTTTGAAAACTTCAAACGTGCTGCAATATTCTTTTTGGACAGCAATGGCTTCCTCCGTGGTGTCCTCCCATGTACTCCATTCTTGTTTAATGTTTTCCTTATTGTAGATGTGTCAACAAAAATGTTAGCATGTGCCAGAGATTTCTGTAGGTCTTTAGCTGACACTCTGGGATTCTTCTTTACCTCATGCAGCATTTTGCGCTGTGCTCTTGCAGTCATTTTTACAGGATGACCACGCCTAGGGAGAGTAGCAACAGTGCTAAACTTTCTCCATTTGTAGACAATCTGTCTTACCGTGGACACATGAACATCAAGGCTTTTGGATATACTTTTGTAACCCTTTCCAGCTTCATGCAAGTCAACAATTCTTGATCGTAGGTCTTCTGAGAGCTCTTTTCTGCAAGGCATGGTTCACATCAGACAGTGCTTCTTGAAACCAGTAAACCCAAAACAGGTGTGTGTTTTTTAAGGGCAGGACAGCTGTCAGCAACACATCCAATATCATCCCACTGATTGGAGTCAAGGTTGGCTCACTCCTGGCTCCAATTAGCTCTGGGAGAAGTCATTAAGCTAGGGCCTCACATACTTTTTCCTCCCTGCACTGTGAATGTTTACATGTTATGTGCAATTAAACCATGGCAACATCTAAAGTTTGTGTAGTATTATGTTCAGCAGACTGTGTTCTTCTATTGTTGTGACTTAGATGACGTTCAGAGCACATTTTATGCCCAATTCATGCAAAACTCCACGTAATCCCAAGGGGTTCACATACTTTTTCTTGCAACTGTACCAGGTCTGTCAGGTAGACAGGCCAATGGCTGTCTGAAGGAGCATGCATGGCAGGCTGGCAGTGCACTGTTAATTGAAAAGTGTGCTAGTCTGTGACAGGAAGTACTGATAGAATTTAGGGTTACATACACTTTAATGTTAGGCAGATGCATTCTACATTGTATATATTTGTACGTATATTTATTAGTACTGAAGGGGAAGAAGAAAATTTGGGGTTTTATTTCTATAAAAAAATTGCACTTGACGGTTATGTGTGCATTAATGCTAGGCATGGACATGCACAGTACAGACGCTGCCAATGATCCACATGTCCTGCACCATACAGTTACCCCAATTTTTACCTCCTGTCTCTCCTCTGTT